CTGGACGGGCATCGTGACATACCGGGGAAGTGATAGACGACCTTCTCGCCAGGCGAGGCACGCTGGCCGGCAGTGCCATCCGACGCCCTGGAGCCATGCCAGTAGCCAGGGACCTTCTCGGCCTGGACACGATTAGCGTTTGCAAAGTCGCGGACCTCGCCCACGATGAGGTCCGGAGTGGGGTCAATCCAGACCAGCCCGGATTTGACGGCGTCGGGGGCGTTCTCGCGAGGGCGTGCAGGAGCGTCGATGGCGGTGTTGAAGAGGATGCCGACGTATGCCTGGAATGCCTGGACGATGAGGGAGCGGCCGAGAGACCATGTGGGGAGGGGGCGCCACGACGGGACGAGGCCGAGGATTGTCCAAACAGGAAGGCGGATGAAGAGCAGGACGAGGATGCTGCCCAGCATGTAGAGGCCCTTCAGAGGCTGGCAGCGGAACGCGAATGCCATGGTAGCTCGTGGAGAGTGTCCGACGAGTCTCGTTGCGTAGTCCCTGTACAAAGTTTGGGGGTATTTACTTGTGGAGCACGAATTCCCAAACAAGGACACCGAAAACTGTATTTCTTGTGCTTCTATCTTCCTTTAATTCTCGCGGCCCTTGATTGTTATTCCTGGGTGAGAGAAACGCCCAGGCAGTGCAATGTTCCACTATGTGATGGCGGTGGCGCCTCAGTTGCACTCAGACAGGGGGCCGGGATTCGAGAGGGGGACGATGATGGGGTGGTGAACGGCCTGGGACTTCAATCGCATGAGACAGCATGACACTGAACTGGCGGACGAGCACGGGGGCCTCGTCCTTCCATCTATCACGAATGTATGATAGTGATGATACTCAACAGTCGGAAAGGCATGCGCCATACCTCGGATATCGGTCTGTTTTTCGATGGCGAAGGGCGCTTTGACAAGTAATAGTAATAACCCGAACTGTATGCGGGCACGACCTACTTCCTCCGACCCGTCCGCATGGCAATCAACGATGGACACCCGGTGTGGGAGCCAGACGTTGCTGCTTGCGAATGGAACCTCCACCTGTCGCCATATTCGGATCATGAGCAAAGCTGCAGCGCAGAAGATTCAGCCAGAAACGCCCGGGAACGACGCCACAAGGTTTTGGAATTCCATATCTGGTAAACAGACATCAGCAGCGCTGAATGATCAAAACCTTCCCACGGTCTGATAGCCTGAGTGTCATTACCACCCGCTCGGGTGTGTTTATCCCTGCTTAACTGTGTATCTGGTCTGTCATGGTCTGTGTATCTGGTCTGTCATGGTCTGTCATATCTCGCCTCGCGGGAGATTGGACATATGCGACTGTCAGCATCAGCACCACCGGAGTTGGGAGCCTGGTGCTTTCCTACAGCCATTTGTCAGATGGCAAAACCTCATGTCTCACAGCCATCTTGAATGCGCTTGTGACTCGTGATATGATCTTGAATGTGGGGTTCAGTGAGGTGCCGATTATGCTGTAGGTGATGACAAGGCTCCGAAGGATATATGTAATACCTCTTGTGTTGATCTTCATTTTTCGGTGCCTCCACTGCTTGGGTCCCATTCCTCAGACTGAAGTTCCAAAGTGCCCCTTGAACCCGCCACTGGAGTCGAAATGCCTCATCCCAAAGACTTCTTTGCAGTCAATGCTCACGACCTCAGAGGCTTCCTGGACGTCCTGCAATGTCTCTACTCGCTATGGCTCTCCGCGCCCAAACCTCCTACTCGTGAAATCAGAGACCGGAGCGCAGAAAGTAGTCTCTCAGTCGCCTTCCCCCTCGTTACTCCAGCATATCGGCTTCAGGCCACGGAAGACGTTCGTGACGCCAGCGTTGTATTCGGCTCTTCTGCTGCTGTCCCATATGACACCATTCACGACGCATTTCTTGCTCACGTAGGGATGCCCACTGAGCTTGTCGCTATTGTCGATCATGGTGGCGACTCCATGACATACCGCGAGCTGGAGCGCCTCTCAGGAAGGCTGTCCGCTTGGCTGCGCTCCAACGGTGTCGGTCAAGGTGCCCGCGTTTTTCTGTTGATTGAGCGCTCCATTGCACAAATTGTCGCCATTCTTGCCGTACTGCGCGCGGGTGCCGCATACGTGCCTTTAGACGGATGCGTTGTGACAGACGACGCACTTGCATCCATCACGCAAGACGCGCAGCCGACCTTCACCCTCGTCTCAAAGCGCTACATGCCTCGCGCGCCACGCATCCTGACGCGCCACGTCTGCCTCGAAGACTTGATTGCGGAGTTATCTATCTCAGAATCTCCGTTTGCGACGTTAGTTCCTGTGGCTGTCCTTCCCCACGATAGCGCCTATATCATCTATACCTCTGGTGAGTCACGATTAGTGCATCTGCTCTTAATATATTCCTGATAGGACCTCTTAAGGAACGACTGGTCGGCCCAAAGGCGTGATCGTGAGCCACTCAAATGTGTGCAACTGTGAGCTGCTTCATTCTTTCCGGACGCGCTGGGCTCTAACACAAGCATCTCCCAGTGCTTTGCCTCTCCCCGGGAAACCTAGGCATCCGCCCCGGAACCCGAGTCTCGCAGCTGCTCAACGTCGCATTCGATATGTGCGCTTGGGAGATCCTGGGATGTCTCATGAACGGCGGGACACTGCACCTCCGCGGGCCCCACCGGCAGGATTGGATCAACGTCCTGAAGACGGTGGATGTCGTGATTAGCACGCCGTCCATCTTGGAACAGCACGACCCCGCAGACTATCCAAACATTCGTGTCGTTGCGACGGCGGGAGAGCCGTGCCCCCAGAGCCTTGCCGACCGATGGGCGCAGCGCGCGATGTTCCACAACTGCTGTGGACCCACAGAGGTATGTGGTTTATGTTACTGTCGTCGGTTGTGGTCCATGTTCTTTTGCAGACGACCATCGTGAACACTATGCACCGACATACGCCTGGCGCGCCTAACTCGATCGGCAGCCCAACTCCGAACAATGCTGTATATATCCTCGATGCCGAGATGCGCCCTGTTCCACGCGGTATGCCTGGCATAATGTGGGCAGGCGGACGCGGCGTGTGCATGGGTTATCTCAATCGCCCAGATCTTACAAGGGATAAGTTTCTTCGCGATCCTTTTTTAGTGCAGGGGTGCGTGTGTGAGACATCATTCCGCGTCTGATCATTTCGACGAACAATCTTATGCCACAGGGGAATGATGTACAACACAGGAGACATCGGCAAGCTCCAGGAAGGGGGCCAATTAATCCATCTCGGACGAGTTGACGACCAGGTTAAAATCAAGGTATACGCGTGTAAATCTGGTGGTCCACAATGTGTTTCACGAACATTATAGGGGTTTCGCGTAGAGCTGGATGGCGTGACTGCCGCCGTTCGTGCATGTCCAGGCATCGAATCTGCTTGCGCACTGCTGATAGGACAAGACCTTTGGGCGTTCTACAGCCCTACATGTGTTCCTACCGAAGAGATACGCACGACTGTTGTTGCCTCACAGCCGTATTACGCTGTGCCGTGCAAATATCACGCGCTGTCTGTAATGCCGCTCACCACGTAAGTTTAACAGAAGGCGATGATCGTGTATGCTTACGTTTCGTTTCACTGACGTAGCAATGGGAAAATCGACAAATTACGTCTGAGAAGCTTGGTAGTGATACAGCCTTCAAAGCCGTAATTGGACTTTAGCATAATTGCTTTGATCAGACATTGTATACTTACTATGTCAGATGGTACTATGCCAGAAGTCGTTCTTGTTTCGTTGTCTTGTCGAACTCAAGCTTATGAATGCCTCTGAACATTGAATGGGAGCGACGCAGTCCTTCACGCGGTAGACCAAATATCATCAGATAAGGTAAGCAGACCGATTGTGAGCCAACGAGAAAAGAGCGGAGCTCGAAAACAAGGTTTTGCAGCCCAGATCAGCGGCCTTGCCGACAAGATTTACAGGTTGATTCTATGCTGCAATCTCGTCCAGACCTCTGGGGAAAGGCATCCAGTCTCAAGTCAAGCCCACTTCGAACTTTCTTGAGACCATCAGAGCCTTCCGATATTACTTGAAATCTAGATCCCGGGTTAGATGATCTATAGCCACACTGCATACATCGGTGTCCCAAGGGGCCGGCTCAAGGCCATCTATAAAGGGTCGATTACAGTGTGTCATACTCCGAGTGCAGCTGCACTTCTTCGACCTTCGGCCACGATGGAACCTGGATATCTGACCTTGGTATTTGGCCTCATTTCGATGCTGTGCATCATCCTCGTCAACGCTTCGGACTACTGTTGGGTGTTTTTCCGTCTTTCATCTGGGTTACCACCGGGTCCCAGGCGACTGCTCTTCGTGGGAAATGTGCTGCAGATACCGATGGAGTACCAGTCTCGAACGTTTGGCGAATGGGGCCAGAAATACGGTAAAGTGGAACATCTCGGCTCGGCATATGTCCCTGAACGTTGTTGTTCTGTCAGGAGACATCATCTATATCAAGCTCTTCCACACACCAGCCATCGTTTTGAACTCTGTCAAGGTGGCACAAGACCTGTTGGCTAAGAGGAGCTCCAAATACTCGGACAGACCTTCGCTTCTTTTCATGAAGAAGATGTGAGAGGCGTGGGCGCTGAACCTTGATGCATGCTGATACGGGGTGCCTCGCAGACTAGGCTGGGATCCAGCCACCCCGTTCATGTGTTATGGCGATAGATGGCGCAAGCACCGAAAGTGGATCCAAACTGCTTACGGGGAACGCACATCACTCGTCGGGCATAGGACGCTCCTAAAGCGGGAATGCATGGTTCTAGTGCAGAATCTGATGGTGTCGCCCGAGATGTTTCTGATACATCTCAGGAGGTGTGCCCCAAATCTCTTGGTCCGAGATACCGCATGCTGAGTAATGCGTAGATTCCCTGCGTCTTTGGTCATGACGTCGCTCTACGGGCAACCGATACAGTCTATGGAGGACGAACACTTCGGGATGGCAGAGTTCGCAATTCACGTCACTGCCAAGGCAGGAGAATCTGCCGGCTCGTTGATCGATTTCTTTCCTTTCCGTGAGCACTCCCGCTTCAGGATAGGTGCCATTCTCATGCCATTGACAGTACAGTATGTCCCGGACTGGTTGCCTGGCGCTGCGTCCCTTGGGGAGGCACGACAGGTTCGACAGTCAACCCGTCGTTTGTTCGATGATCCGTACAATATCATCAAACGTCAAGTGGTGCATTATACTCCTTGACCTACATCGACGACGTCTTGACGTTTGGTAGGACAACAACGAAGAAGTATGTGATTGTCTCATCGCAGCTCTGTATCGCGAGTCTGTGAGGAACGGCTCACTAGCGGACGATGAAGACGACATCAAGGGCGTCGGTGCGTCTGTATACTCTGGTAATGTGCTTATGTTTATGGTAGCTTCCCCACTGTTCACATACTCCTCGAAAGCGGGAGTTGATACGGTGAATACACACCCGGGGTTTCCTGCCGTTCTGACATATTTCCAGACGTCCATTGTCCTGTCGACGTTCATATTGGCCATGGTACTGCACCCCCGCGTGTATGTCAAGGCTCGCGACGAGATTGAACACATTGTCGGCATAAATAATCTGCCTACGCTCGAGCATAGAGGCTCATTGCCGTATGTTAACTGCATCATTCAAGAACTATATCGGTATGTGACAGTGTCAAGACCGCCGATCGTATATCTTACTCTTCAGGATGCCAGCTGGAATCCGCCATTGCCTCTGGGTAGAGTCATAGCACATGCGAATGAGTAAGACGCTAACATGGATCCCACAGGACTGCCTCATCACCTGCAGTCGCGCGATGAGTACAGAGACTTCCACATTCCTGAAGGTTCAATGGTTTTCGCGAATATATGGTACGTGTGCAGTCGCCAATGCGTGCAATTGTACTATAACGCTATCGGAGCATAGGCAAATGTCCCGCTCCGCCGAATTCTATCGCGATGCAGAGTCGTTTCGCCCTGAGCGATTTGAGGACCTGGACGCGAATGTCGACGTGTTATCTGATTCTCGTAACTACGTGTTCGGCTTTGGGAGACGGTAAAGACACTTCGCGGCGTGGAGCATGTCCCGCTCACCATGCGTCTGCTGCAGCATCTGTCCAGGAAGGTACTTTGCCGAAGACGCGATCTGGTCAGCAATTACGCACATCATTGCGATCTTCGATATCGAGAAAGCATACAATGCGGATGGTGGCGAGATCACACCTGCTGTTCATTTCCGTCCGGGCCTCACTAGGTGAGGTCACTTTTGTTGTTAACTATATGTACGACGAATACTCACGCCCGCCCACAGCCCTCCTGCGGAATTCAGATGCAAGATCTATCCGCGTTCATCTGAGCTAGCGTCTCTGATGCTAGCCGGGCACTTGCATGAGTAGTCACGGAATGTAGCCCATAGAAATGTACACGATGCCGGTGATGCTCATTTTGTGGCACGGTTCTACTAGTATGTCACTTCGATCCGGACTTGTGCGCCATTAAAGACATCGCCGGATTCGTCGCCTTATATGCGGATGTAAGATGCTCATATTCGTGTATGATTTGATCGTAACGCAGATATCGGGACGATGTGCTAGTTATAGCTACAGGCGACTGGCTCCTCAATTTGTTACTTATATAACACACAAGCGTATCTCAGGACATATTGGAATACAACAGCAGTTTGGCAAAGCAATAACTTCGATGGGGTTGTTACAAAGTGCAGATAAAGGTCGCAATACCTAGACGAACTAGTCATAGAATCTCACGTAGACGGTATCGCGGATTGCTGGTGTGAAATTGAAGGTACCCCTGAGTGAAGCTGTCCCAAGCATCCGTGGCGGCTCCCTCCCCCAACATTTGCCGAACTCGATTGGCTAATGCGGTCGTCTCCTTCACAAGGTCCATTAGCGTCACCTCGATGGACTGTCCTGTGTACCGCGCACGATCGTGAATGTAGTTTGCTGTCTCTCCAGCGGATTCTTCCTTGTAGAAAGATAAGATGTCGCTAAGAAAGTGATCAATAGGGTTCCATTCGGGTACGATAAAGGCCGACATACTTGCCAAAGTTGATAAACTTCATAGCATCCTTACAGAGAATATTAGAAAACGGCTGAGGTGGTGTAATATCAACGTACGGAATGGCTTGCATCCAAACCGTGACATCGGGGAAGTGGCGCTTTTCCCAGATGAAGGAGAAGTAAACCTCAGGGAGACCGTCCATAATGCGCCGATATTCGACGAAGGGAAGCGCATCATGTTTCAGACGATAGTCGCCTATCTCATTCCCAAGTAGTGTCATGTTCATGAATTGAAGTGTCGACGTCAGGATGCAACTAGCTCCGAAACGCGGAAAGTGCTCCCACATTGCCGCTAGCACTTTGCTCAGTTCCGCTAGCAAGTCGGGTGATTCCGGTATGGTGCCTGCGCAGAGGGAGTAGTGATATGTTCCTGAGCTAAGAGACTCAATAATTCTCGGGTCGTCCATGGCGACGGCTATGGCAGTATAGAGGGCAATTGACACCTTGGAATCTATGCTGTTCTTGCGGTAGGTAGTGCTCGCAATGAATATGCCTGTCGCAATGTGAGGTTGCAGGGTGCTTCTTTGAGGCCAGCATGCCGTCTCCTGGGCCACTCGTGCCTCAAGTTCGAGATCACGGACATGGGGCACTATGTCCAGCCCCATGTCCGAGACGAACCACTGGATGCCCCGCCGTGATACACTGGCCAGGTCGCCCTTGATATTGCCAGGCAGTGTCAGATCAAGTACCCAAGCATAGGCGAGCGACGTACTGTAGTACATTCGACTTCAGGTTTGTAGCTCTCCGTGTGGCATAGGCTGAACGTTGCTTGCATCATAAATGCAGTAAGACTTCACCTTTCATTCCAACATTAGCCCAGCAATCATTGCCATGAAAGGGTCACTCCAGGGTTCACTCACAACTGTCGGCTGCTGTACAGACGTAGAGTGCCTGATTGAGAAAGGGTGGCTACTGAGAGATACCGACTCTTGACACGTTATATAAGAGTTCTTCATCAGCGCCCTAAGTTTCGAAATGTTGATTATGAGGACCCAGAAAATGGATGTGGAGTGCCGAAAGCGGGTTCAACACGGATGGGCTACCGTGTATATTCCTGGCCTTGTGATATCACGACTGGTGGGGGCGGCAGGCATTTTCTGTTCATACGCCGGCTGATGACATGCTAAAGTGTGCTTTAAATGGCATGTCTTACGTTTTACTTTTGAAATGCATCAGGACTGACTTGTGTCCAGGCTTCCTCGATCGTATCTCTATCAAAACTTCCATATGATTGAAGTTTCATATATGCCGATTTGGGGGCTAGACGAGGTATGGATCCAACCATCAATCATAGATACAGAGCCCAAGTACCAGGTAACATGTGTAGCAGGATTCGTGTGGACCCTTCGCGTAATGTCTCAGGCGAAACAACAAGAGACTCCACATCGGCTTCGAAGAAGCGCCGGGAGTTGGCCCATGTGGATATACTAGCCTTGGGTAGGCTTGTAATTCGAATGTCGAGGTCACTCCGAACTATGTTGAAATCACAGCATACCTCACTATCCACGGACATTGAAGGTTTTTACATCTCCTCGTTGAACGGGCTGAATGATTGATTGTACAGTAATACTTGCGTACGCTGCAAACTGGTCCGACGAGTCCACAATGTCGCATGATGGACTGAGAAGGGCCGGATGGTATATTGCCGCCGGTATCATGGCGCTTAGACGCGCTAGTACTTCAAACTTCCTACTTCTATCTTGGGCGACAGGTTTTCGTACCTTCGTACAACCAACTCAGACTGGAGTGTACCTTGCCTGATCAATGCTCTGAGTAAATGATACATGTTATGTTTTTTCGAACAGCTTTCTATCTTTGTCTTGAGAAGATACTTCAGTCTCCGTGCATTCATCAGTAGTTGTCCCATCTCCTCGTAGAAGCACCGGGTCTACTATCTTGGCTCCCACGGCAGCGGTCGTAGTTCTCATGCTTGATCAACTCAATGTGCAGATACTGTGCTGCACATGGGACACCTTCTGATGCTTCACAATACTAGGTGGATGTACACTTGCGGCCAGACAACTACTTAAGTTCACATGTCAGACTCTCTAGACATAAGCTCTAGCAGAAGCATTACCCGTCGAAGTTGGAGGGATACTTGTGCCCTGAGGCATGTGGGTTCACGTCTGGACCCCCTCAGAGTGCGCTTCGGCGAGGGAGCTGAGCACCCAATGGACACTTCTCATGGCGCACCTGTCCATCTCCAGGGGCGTCTCTAAAACATTATCCAGGTGCATCACAAGTTCATTCAAGCACACTCGAGTGCGCCTTGAAATTCTTCTATTTGCGCACCATACATCACTGCAGCTAGGATTTCTTCGAGAGGGGCGAGTGATGCTTTCGTGATACAGAGTCTTACTATATGGAAAGTCTACACATGGTGTTTACGAAGTACGAAGATCCGATATCTCAAAAGGGATTTCGTTCTCATACAATCTATCCATCGAGTTATCCACCGTCATGGAGTGTCTGCTTACATCCGCCATATGCATATTTGAAGGTGGATGGGGTTCCAATTAGGAGTTCTGCCGGACTCAGGTCATGGTTGACTCAATGGCGGCAGAAGGTGCACCATTCCAGGTTATTCTATATCATAATATCTATTGAGCCCGTTACCCACGGTGTAATAGTTGAACTTCGGGCGGGGATGGGGCCTGCGAACAACGGCTTAGTTGGGTAAATTATGAGTCCAAACTGCGCAGGATAGATCAGTTGGTATCCAAAGGTATCAGTCGTCATGATACACATGGCACGGCAGCTTGTATTGTTGCAAGGGGCGTGAATCTCCGGCGTAAGCATTCCATTCTTGTCCACTATATTACTGTGATAGTGACTGGTGGCTGGACCTTGCGCTCGCTGAGAGCGCGGTTTTGAGTCAAGTATGATAGCACAGTTTGCACATGCTCAAGAGGGCGGTCATAGATGGTCGTTACTAGAAACTACATCGACGAGACGTAGCTTGTCTCGTCAAAGTGAACCCGGGCATCGTGCAGTACAATGAATGACCCTTCGTCAATTGTCTCAAGTACTTCTCGCTCCAGAATATTGGCCTAATGGGTTTTATGACTTACGCACATAATGACATGGCCTATTCGCCTGCACTACCGCTGTGAACTCAATCCAATCACTAAGGACAGGAAATCACAGCCAAACCCATGAAAGCCTATGAGGGATTGTGACGCTGATGCGAAAAGGGATGGTGAGGAACAGATCTAAACGACAAGCGAACGTAGCCACGCCTAGCTCATTACACCGATGACCAGAGCCTGTCCACCCACACCGCAACCTCACGCAATACATTGGTCCTCTCAGGCTCGTGCCATCCCATCGTCAGGAAGTCGTGCGTGCAATCGACCGCTTCGATGTATGTCACCGCCTCCTTCCCCATGTCCGCTTGCAGCCGGTCCCGCAGCGTCACCACAGGATCCAGCGTCATCTCCTCTCCGCCAACCACAATGCATGTACGCGGAATCTGCGAGAACATTCCCGTCGACACCTTCGTCTTCAACGACGCAGGCGAGATCCACACGCTCGATGCCGTCTCCGCGGGCAGGTCACCCACCAACGCATCCTTCGTGTACCCAGAATCGAAGATCGGCCCAACATAGTCTGTGCGCGAGTGTCGCACCATCGACGACCGCGCGCCTGTGTGGGTATTCGCCCAGTCCACCGTAGGCGACAGGAGGAGCAATCCGCCCGCATTTGGTAGATTCGGGAGCTGGTATGTCGCGAGGTAGTACGCGAGCACAAACGCAAGGTTCCCGCCCGCGGAATCACCGCTCAGCAGGATATTCTGCGGCTCGAACCCGACGTCCTGCACCAGATAGCGGTAGCCGGCGATAGCGTCGATGAGGGCAGAAGGGAATGGATTCGCCCTCCCGAGCGGGTGTCCCCTGGTCAGACGATATTCCAGCCCGAAGACGCGTGGGTTGTTGGGGAAGTGCTCCATGAAGCCAGTGAAGCATGTCTTTGAGCCGGGGTCTGATGGAGACGCTAGATCCATCTAGGAGCGCGGGCAGCAAGTGGGTCAGTGACTATCGCTA